TCTGGTCTACAGAGTGAGTTCCAGGACAGCTAGGGCTGTTACACAGAAAAACTCTGTTTCAAAAAACAAACACAGAAGGAAGGGAGGGAGGGAGGGAGGGAGGGGAGGGGAGGGGAGGGGAGGAGAGGAGAGAAGGGGAGAGGAGGGGAGAGGAGGGGAGAGGAGAGGAGGGGAGAGGAGATGATTGGATGCCTAAAACCGCAGTTAGTGCCAAACCCTATCTCCTCTATGTTTGCTCCTATACATCCATGTATACATTTAATTCATAAATTAGGCATGCCAAGAGATGGGTAATAGCTGAAAATATTCTAATAAAAGTTCTATGCATGTAGACCAGAGAGAGCTCGGTTGGTGAAGGATTTGCTGTGTAAGCATGAGGCCCTCCGCTGAATTCCCAGAAACAGTATAAGAAAGCCAGACATGATGGCACAGTCCCCATGAGGTGGTCACAAATCCCACACAGAAAACGGCTGACCCACACAGAAGCAATTAATAGTTCTATTTATTGAGAAGTTCAGAGACTAAGGTACCAGGAGAACTGGGGGTTGGCCTAAGCCTACTGTTAAGTACTTGTGAGCTTTTGAAAAATCATTTATCTGTTCAGTGCCTTGGTTTCTATGCTACAGAACTGGCCCGTGTGACGACTAAGCTTCCATGCTCTACAACCGATTTCCCAGTGTTCAACAACTAGAGGAACGTCCTCCAACCCATTCTCTGAGCAAACAAAATCCCCTGGGCTTTGGACCAAGCTCCAGCCATTCTCATAGCAGGCGGAATGTAAGCACATGTCAAAATAAGAACACAAGGGTTGATAGCCCTTTGTGAACCACATTCTTATCCTCAATGCTCAGCAAGGGGCTTAGAGAGCTAACCACCCTGATGCAATCATAACTCAGTTCACCAAACAAGGCCAAACTGTGGTTTCCAGGAAACAGAAACAGGAATGTGCAGAGATGTAGTAGCAACGTCAAAAGAGGAAAACAATGAAAAAAAAAAAAAAAAAACTCAAAAGAGACACAATAAAGACCCGAAAGTGTGGTCGGAGCTTTTGGAATGGCTGGAACCGTGAAGAGCTCTCCCCAATCCTAACAAACCGCTGTCCATTGTATTATTAATGGGCTCATTGAGGTAAAGGCGGATCGCTGATTCTTTTGAAAATCCAAAATCTAAAATTGAAAGCTATGAATGGTGGAATTAGCAAACTACTTCAAGGCATTTTTACCTCGGTCTAGAACTTAAAGATATTCTTTTCTTAAAAAAAAAATTAGATAAGGCATAAATTGCTGTTACTTCTTAAATTATCAAGAAGTCCATCATTATATCAGTGGATTAAAATATCTCTAAATGATACAATGAAATTATAGGATGTCTTCAATTATGACTCCTCTTCCTTTAGAAGAAAGGGGAAATCAATGGGAAGCAGAATAAAGGCAAGCTATTCCTATTCATTCATTACACATGAATGTGTAATATACATTACATATAGCTGGTAAGATCAACCTTCAACTTCGATTTTTATGTTTTCTATCAAACATTTCCACGTAAAAGTCCTATATCAATGAGGTCCACATATTCATTATTTTTAATGTCCTGCCATAGTCTTAGCTGGGCTCATAATGTGTACATTCCTTTAGCATTCATTAACTCAAGAGCATTTATGTTGCTTCCTGTTCTGTTTGGCTTGGTATTCCTTGAATATTATTTCTTTGGAACTATTTCCAAAAGTGAGACTATATGGACAAAATTATAAATAATGTTATAGTCACTGTTGTATCTATTAGTGAACTGTTTTCTGAGAAAAAAACAATTTAAAAATCTACCAATATTTTCAGTTATTACTGGGCCCCAACTTATACCATCCCTACTCACACACAATCACGTCACATCGCTGATATCTTCTCTGGTCTAGCAGGTGTATACAGTACCTAACGGATGTGTGTCTGAGTTACCAGTAAGACTAAATCTCATTTGTTGTAATGACTGTCTCTAAATGTTTAAAGATCACTGATCAGGCAAGGGACAATAAGCAGCAATAAATTATCATATTCATAAACATTAATGCTTTTTTAAAATACAACACCTGTATATTTTTTAAAGTTGGGAAGACAGAGAAAAATGCGAAACATAATGTAAAATTCACCTTAGTCCCAATATGCTTTCCCCTTTAGCATGTCATAAAAAGTGTATTTCCTTCTTCAGCTCTCCATCATCCCCAGCCTCACTAAAAGCCGTCACCGCCTGCATGTGACACACACACATGGGCCCAGGATTTTCCCATGACCTCTCCATACAAGTGGAGTCACAACAATCACTGATTCACACAATGACATCTTTCTCCGTATGTATCTGTGCATCTTCCTTTCAGGATGTAGAGATCTACCTCATACATCTGACAGCTGGCACGGACTCTGTGCTGTTATACAGAAGAAGTTCTGAAGCTGGAACAAAGAACTGATATCTGGAGTACACAGACTGCATTCATTTTCCTCTGACCATGAAGTCAGAACTATCATCGACTCCTAGCTCCTTTGACCCTCCATGTGTCATTATCCAAGCTCTCCTCACCGTTTCAGTTCAATGCCCATTGTTTGGAAGGCTGTCAGGGAGACCTGCAATCTTTGCTGACGGCTTCGGGTGGGCTGTGGCTCTCTCGCGCACTCATCCAGTCCTCACAGACCTAATACTGTCCTGTCTCCTCCTCCTCCGATCCCTGGTGCACACAGCAACCTTTCTCACTCTCCATTTCCAAGCCTGCTTTTCTTGGTCCACCCTTCCTTTCATTCATCCTGAGTCAAGAGAAGGACAGCATGGGTCCTCTGCAGGATTACCCCCTTCTGGCTTCCATTTTCACTACCTGTACTCCATCCTCCTCCATCTAGAAATGAGCTCACACAAATACCGTATTACTGAGTTGCACAGTCCTATCCTCAGAGCAGCACAAGACCAAGACCTAAGACCGGTGAGTCTGCTGTGTCTGCTCAAAAAGATCACAACTGAACTTGCTGACTCGGCATTCTGTCAGAGGAGGAGGAGGAGGAGGAGGAGGAGGAGGAGGAGGAGGAGGAGGAGGGGGGGGATGAAGCGGGTCCCTGGACCCTCACCTGAGTATCCACTCTTCCCAGTATGAGATCCTGCCCTAATCTCCTGTGACCTTGGGGCCTGGGAAAGAGCCAAAGTATCTAAGCTGGGGAAAGCTGGGGAAGGACTTCATCCTTGCAGCCATGGAAAGCCACCATCCACGGTAGTTTAGCCCTTCTAATGGAGCTCACCCATACACCTGCCCATTACCCTTCACTCGTGACCTCTCAGCAAGCCTAATAAACTCACTGGTTCCCAGGGTAAACTTCAGTGGAGTTAAACTTGTTCTCATCTCCCCTTGGGAAAACATTTCACAATATACTAACATCACAAAGTTGAGATTCAAGCCTAAGCAATTTGGATCATAACGATGGTGCCCACAACAGACACTTGCATTACAGGACTGTAACTCTGGGAAGTTATAAAGTCGTTGGGGGGGGGGGGTTGTTTAGAAGACTGGGTGGGACGAGAACACCCAAAACAACAGAAATCAAGTTTCAGACAGAGGAAAAAACAAGAGTCCCAGAGACTCATGTGTCCAAGAGTCCAAGAGTCATGTGTATGGCAAACAGTGGAGAGGGAGGCTGTTTTATGTAGCTGCTTTATGGGCCCTATGTGAATGTGCAATGCAACATGAAGTGTGTGGGGTTCAGCTTCACTGTGTGTGTGTGTGTGTGTGTGTGTGTGTGTGTGTGTGTGTGTGTGTGTCTTCGTCCCATAGCTCCTAACAGCTGAGTCCACTGGCACCAACAGGACCGAGGCCATCTACGGAATGGCTGAATCCCACTCTCTTAGCTAACCTTGACCACGACAAATGTGCATCAGCAGCCATCAGCAACCATCCAGAGCACAGAATGAAGCAGTTTTTCCAGCCTTTGCTCCAAAGTCCGTCCTGGGAGCCAGGTGTCTCCAGGAGGAGGTATCAGGACTCCTGTGTTGGGTTTAGCTCTTCTTTCCCTTCCCTAAGACGGGCTGTGGATTTGATCCTCAACTCACCAGTTCTGTGGCCATGTATTATACTTCTTTTCCCCAAATCAGTCATCTTTAAATTAGTTTATTATTATGGTGTGTGCATGTGGTACGTGTGTACGTGTGTGCATGTATGTGAGTGAGGGTGGGTGGGTGCCACAGCACACCTATGGAGGGCAGAAGAAAACTTTCAAGAGTTGCTTCCACCATGACTTCCGGGATTCAAACTCAGGTCATGAGGCATAAGCAGCAGTGATCTTGAAAGGATACTCCATTACAGGGTCAAGAATAAGAAAATAATGTAGACCAAGCAGTTCCCAGAAGCATCCTTCAGAGGCTGTCCCTCTGCTCTCTCTGCTTCCTGACTTCAGACACAATGTGACCAGCGGCCTCTGGCTCCTGCTGCCACAGTTCGAGGCTAAGGGCACTGTCACCACCACATCTTCTCTGCCATGGTGTACCGTACCCTCAAACTGTTGACCAAAAGACCCTTCCTTCCTTAAAAACAAAGTTCAAGGCCAGCCTGGGCTACACACTGAGACTCTAGCTCAAAAACACATTTTTTTTTAAAAAGCAAGAAAAATATGTAGTAGGCTAAAGTTATTTATACTGTATTAAAATTTAAAATGTATTTATTATAAACAAGACATATGAATATTTAAGCAGTAAAGCTAATACATAAGAATGGAATTTTTTTGAAAACTAAATATTTTCCACAAGGGAACATGTGTGTTCCTGTCAGACACAGACATGTGATTCTGAGTTCAGATAGTATTTTACGGTAACATTATACAAATTACTGTATCATACTATCATCTTAAGTCCTATGAGTCATATTTTTTGCTTTCATTTAGACTGGCAGGTTCTCATGGCTGATTAAAAACAGTCTAGCTGAATGGTTTCTTTAGGACAATGAATGGCTACGGTTAGGTTTCAAGCGAGAAAGACCACACCTGTTCATTGATCTCTCTCAGCTTCCCATCAATGGCTCTCAGCCGACACTGCTGGTCCCTTTGCTCTTTGCTGTCCTGGAGTATCTTTTCTCCTGGAGTTGGCTCCGTGTTTCTTTCTTCATCGGGGTCAGGTTCCTAAATTCAAAGTAAAAGAACTCACTCACAGGCCGGTTAAGGCACAGCCATGGGCCCTCCAAGGTGACTGAGACTTGAAGGTCAACTGCGTTGCTCGGTGTCTCTTCTCTTCAACCCGTGTTTAGAAATTTTTTCAGTTTTTCTATTTGAGGAATTAAAAGTCCAGATACACATAAACAAATGGGGAGATATACTTGGTGTCTGGCATCATCTGAAATGCAGGAAGGTACAGTAGAGAGAACCACGGCTGGGTAGGAGCCTGAGTCCTGCTTGCCGTTTCTCTGGGCTTCAAGTCTGTCACACACATTTCTTTTTTCATTTCTTTAATTTCTCTGATTCTTCGCAAATACATTTGTACAATGAGAGATGATCATATCCACTCCCCATTCACCCCTCCAGCTCCCCCTGGACCTCCCCCAACATGCCCATCTCCAAATTTCAGGTCCTCTCCTCTTTAAAAAAAAAAAAAATAATAACCACTACATCTGTTTGGTGCTGCCCGTGTGTGCACGGCTGTGGGGGCGTTCACAGAAGCATGTGCAGTTTACCAGTGGCCACACCTCCAAAGAAAAATGGGTCTCCGTCCCCCAGCGGCTCTCAACTGCCAATAACCCCTTGGTTAGGAGCAGGGCCTCATGAGTTCTTCCACCACCTACACTGAGCGGTGGCTGCGTGAGACTGTGCGGGCGACCACAGCGGCTGCTGTCCCCCATGCACGGTAAGTCTGCCCGTCCATGTGACTAGAGGCATCTGTGTAACGACGTTGAACGGGACTCGCAACATCAGAGGCTTTGACTCTCGTGCCACCTGCCTCCTGACTAAGATGACATTACCGCAATGAATCCGCTGCTCTCATCTCTGGTCTTACCATCTGATGAGACCCGGCCAAAAGTCATCCTAGCACGTAAAAGACACGCGGCAAAGCTCGGTACCTAGGGCAGGCTGGATGTGTCCTTTGAATGCAGGAAGTACTATACAAAGGAAGCGCTTCCTGGCCGCTTCACGGCTGCCAAGCACATTGACAGAAGCATGGCTGCTCAAAATTAATAGCATATCTAGGTGATCAGAAGTGGGCTCTTTTCGACAGGAGGTTGAGTTTAGTTGTATCTAAAACTGAATGGCCTCTCTTCTCTTCCACAGATATCCTTCTCCAGGTTACCACACAGGAAACTGGCATAAGAGGCATCTCTAGTCATTTTCAAGGGAGTACGATCCCACTGTTCTCATCCTCTACCCATAGCTGGTCACCAAAAGTACTCAGCACTCTAGCGTATAGTGTCTCCCAGATCAAAGCACCTCGTTCTTTTTGCCGCCTGAATTCAGACCATTGACCAGCAGTTTATCAATTTCAGCACGATTCAGTGTCATCTGCACGATCTATGAATAAATATGAAGGCCAGCCACCACCTGGGAGATTCTGGTTCAAAGGCAAGGGCTAGCAAACTGAACACTTGAAATTCAACTGCCTGCAGATTTGAGAATTACTTAAGTTACTGTTTAAGCCTACTGAAGGGTCCCAGTGCAGCCAGCCAGCCCCTTTACTTCCTCCTCTGCAGAGAACCAGTGTAGCAAGATGCCAGGTACGTACAGCCTAGGTAGTGTCACTTGCCATCATTTGAGACATAGATTCAAACCTCAGCCATGCTCTTAGCTGCTAATTCCCCACTACCCCAGGCATCCACTCTCCAACTCCCTTCAGATACTCATTCATTCGAATCTAGTGTAAGCGTATATCCACCTTAAGGTGTTCTCTGATGTACCTAGAAAGGAAAATCTACTCCATATATTCATCTTATTGTTCATATGGTCACTTGCTCCTTCCTTGCAGATACCACCCACACATCACTGCCTAGACAGTGGGGTGACTGACCTTGCTGTGCCCCAACACAAACTGGACCCTCGAACCTGCACAAGTATTGACCACTAAACTCTAATTTCGGTTCTCAGAACTTTGATCATGATTAGTGTTTGATCAGACTTAGAACGATTATCACCAAAATGCACATTAGACAACGTTCTCCTGAGTGACTAGTCATGTGGGGAGTTCACTCAGTGTGTAAAAATGCATGCCACACAAGTCTAAGCACCTGAGTTTGGATCCCCAGAACCTATGAAAAAGCTGGACACAGTGGTACAAGCATCTGAAATCCAACTGGCTGTGCTTCCTGTTTCTTGCCCTGGCTGATGCCTGGGAAGGGGGTCAGGAGCGACCTTTGCACAGGAATACTGGAAGAAGTTTAACAGTAATTAACAGTAATTAACTTGATGATCTGAAAAAAAAAATGGGAGTATAGATCAGTGGTAGAACACTTGACTAGCATGCATGAAGCCCTACATTCTGTGTGTGTGTGTGTGTGTGTGTGTGTGTGTGTGTGTGTGTGTGTGTGTGTGCGTGTATGTGTATATATGTGAGCGTGTATGTATGTGTGCGTGTGTGCACGTGTACGTGTGTAAGTGTATGCGTGCGCATGAGTGTGTGTGCGTATGTGTACTCCAATTTTCTTAGTTTTTTGTGGTTCTTAAATTTCCTACAGTAAACGTATTAATTTCATAAACAGAAAGGTCATTTTTAAAAATTTTTAAGCAAACATGGCATTCTACCAACCCTATTTCTACAAAGTACAGGCCTAGGGGTCAGGTCTCTCTGGTCTGGCTCTGGTACAACAATTAGGTATGCAACTAGGATGTCACGGCCTCTTCTGCAATTCTCTGCACTTGGAGGGTACATGAGACCTTCCCTTAGTCCCTTAGTCCTGCTCTCTGACAGCAGGACCATTTAGTTCAAGTACCATGTGATGAAAACAGGCCAAGAGTACAATTGAAATAGGAAGTCACTGGTGCTGTCAAGTGACCTGGCTGCAGACTGGGCCAACGCCTGGTGCGGGAGTTCCTTTCTGACAGCAAACACCAGCCAGAACTGTCTTCACAATCTCTGAGAATTCATTCAGCAGATTCTCCAAGCAACAGATTGTTTCTGTGGCTCTGAGTCAGTCAGCAAAGGCTCTCCGTGATGTACTCAGAGTGCCTACTGGCACCACAAGGAGAGAATTAACCCTAAGGAAAATTGATATTTGTTATTTGACTAACTGATTGCCAAGAGATTCTGAGTTTACCCTTTAAGAAATATCTGTGATATTGGCTGAGCCAACAGAGGCCTTTGAAGCAAAATAAACTCATTTTTTATAAGTCAAATACAAAGGAAATTACTCAGAGCCCACTAAGTTATTTGATATTCAAGGAAGCCAGGCGTTAAGGACACAGGCCTGTGTGGGTAAAGCCAGCCTGCCGTGCAAGTCCAGGCCCACTCTCTGCATGTCTAGGAGCCAGCTCCTACTTCTTGTCCCACATGGGTCAGTTTCCCAAATGTAGTGGGGAAAATCTTTCAAACAAACTGTTTTTATCATCTTGGAATGTGGCCATGAAATGAAAGAAACCTTGCCAGCACTGGAGGCATCATGAGAAAACAAAATACAAAATTGGAAACAATCTGTAAAAACGGGGAGAGAAAGCAATTTCCAGATCTAAATGAGAATTCTGACAGCCTGGCTCTAGAGGCAAGGAATGCTGACGTGAGTTCTTGTTTATCCTTCAGTGCAAACACGGATCCTCGTGAGACACACTGCCATGGTTTCTGGAGGGAGGTAAAGTCAGGGCTTGTAACTAACATAGACTAAGTGATGGTGACTGGATTCCTGCTCTGAACCCATGCTTTAAATCTAGGGGGAAATGGACTTGGCAACAGACATTTTTCAGGATTACATGTCAATTGCTCCTAAATTTTAGCTAGTGTTGAGAAAGAAACAAACAAAGCAAACTCATTTTCTTGCTCTTAGCAGGTGTGTGTGTGTGTGTGTGTGTGTGTGTGTGTGTGTGTGTGTGTGTGTGTGTGTGTGTGTGTTTGGGTTTTTTGGCAAGCAAAAGAGATGAATATAAATACAATGTTCTTCACTCAAATAGTTGGAGGGTTTGGGGTTTTGGTTTGTTTGTTTGTTTGTTTGTTTTTGTATTACCAAACTGTGTGTGATGGAATTAATATTCTCAGCATAGGACAATAAATCATGCTAAGGAGAGCCATTATGTTCAATTAAGTTAGTTGGTTTGAGAACAAAGAAATACCTCTTGTCAGTAGGAGACATTTCTGAAGACTCTCCTTTGACCAGAGGGGGAAAAAAAACTCTAACCATGAAGTGGAATTCTAGATTTAGTAAGACTGATTGCATGAGAGATGAATAAACTCTATGTCTTACAAGAGCCAAGAAGAATAGCATTTATTATTGAATCCAGTTGCTGAGGATTTAAGAAACTGGATGTTACACAACTCCCATATCATAGATATTTCTGAAGAAAGCTGGAATCTAGTCTATGTACAAATGAGAAAAACAAAATTAAATGCCATCACTCAACTTTACAGGATGATTTCCAATATGAAGAAAGAACTGACTTGCTGGCGAGTCAAGAGATTGGTAAGTACAGGTGTGCACAGTTAATCCACAGAGCTTATGAATAAAAACTGCTTCCATTGGTTCTCTTTGGCTCCCATAAGATGAGAATTAGAAGTACATGAGAAAACTGCAACCACAGTATTGCTAATATTACAGCAGCCATGATAGAACATGCTTTGTTTTAAATGCGGCCACATGCTTTGTTTTAAATGCGGCCACATGCTTTGTTTTCACAGAGGAAAAGACAAATGCTACTTTAAAATTTTCCTCCATAGTTGGGGCTGGAGAGATGGCTCAGTGGTTAAGAGCACTGGCTACTCTTCCAGAAGTCCTGAGTTCAATTCCCAGCCACCACATATCAAACAACCACAATCAAAGCTCCTAACTATCTACAGTGGGATCTGATGTCTTCTTCTGGCATAAAGGTGTACATGCAGATAGAGCACTCACATACTTAAATAAATCTTTTAAAAAAACCTTTTTGCTGGGCAGTGGTGGTGCATGCCTTTAATCTCAGCACTCAGGAGGCAGAGACAGGCGGATCTCTGTGACTCTGAGGCCAGCCTGGGCTACAGAGTGAGTCCCAGGAAAGGCTCCAAAGTGACACAGAGAAAACCTGTCTCAAAAAACAAAACAACAACAACAAAAAAAAACTTTTTTCCATAGTTAAGAGCACCAGGCATGTGATTAATATAAGGACAGTCACAACCAGCAAACTTCTAAGGGCCAGGAAAAGTGATGTCCCTTTCCTTTCGCAATGATCAGAGCTTTGGTAATCTCTTCGATTCTTCGATCATTTCTAGAGACCCTCAAAGTATGCGCCATAGGTTTCCATGCCTACCAACTTAACATCATATAGTAACCACAAGCAGCTACATCGGGAGCCTGTGTGTTTCAACTTGTCCAGAACACCATTTTCTCGACAACATGATACAGAACGGTGAGTGGACAGGAGAGTGGAGAACCAGAGAGGACAACAGCTGCCGCCCGCTCAGTCTAGTCCACTAGCTGACACCAAGGAGTCAGGAGAAGTGTTGCCATATTTTCTGATTTCTCAAAGAAAAACTAGAAATTAGCATTTTCATTCGAATTCACTTAACTTTTAAATATTGACTACAAACATTTGTAGACACTTCATGGGGCTAAGGAAGCCCATTTGTGAATTTATCTGGCCCCACAACCACCAGTTCCAACCTTGTGCTATGTGGTGGCAGGCTTCTGTGGTTTTTTTGAGGTGGATTCTGGGATTCAAACTCGGGTCCTCATGCTTTGGAGGCAGACACTTGAATGACCTCTTATTTTTTTGCTGTTGTTGTTACATGTCTATATGTACATACACATATATTCCTAAATATAACCTGCTCAGTCTGAGTAACGCTACTCAAAGCGAGGCTTTTGTACTCCAAGGTAACCCATGTGCCTGACTGATCATCAAGCCCCTGTGATTCCTAATATACAGTAAGCCCTAGGTTAATGTCTGTTGAATTCTTTTGAACGTAGAAATTTAGGGACAGGAGAGATGGTTCCACAGCTAAAAGTGTTTGCTGCTCTTGTGAAGCGCTCAAAGTGACCCACAACTGCCTGCAACTCCAGCTTGGAGGCCCTGACACCCTCTTCTGGACTCTGCTAGCACCCACATGAATAAGCATGCACACACACAGGCATACAGGAACACACACGCGCACAGACACACACACACACACACACACACACAAATAAAAAGAAGTCTCTAAGTAGGAATTTATATTCCACTTGAACGACATTCTTCTAAAGGTTCATGAAGAAAAACTGCTGATGAGCCTAATGGTCTGCAGACAAATGAAAACGAAATGAATTCAAATGCTAAGTGTTTGTGCTCAACAACAGATTGGAGCCCATTCACCAACTACACAGAGATAAAGAGCTTATGCATTCTTTTCAGTGAACTTATTCAGGAGATATCACAATTCAAAAATGATTACCAGGAAATAATTTGCTAGGCTTGCATTTCTCCTTGAAAGTTCAATGTGCTGTGCTGGCTTGCGCTAGACGCTCCAAGAGGAAACTGAACACACGGCCAAATGATCTGCTGCCTTGCACGGAAGAAACATCAGTTACTTCTTTTCAGCAACTATTACGCTCCTGGTCCATTTCTGCATTCAGTGCCGTCTTCTCTTGGTTTTGTGAAAAAATGTTGTTTCACACAAAACTGCATGATCTCAGCCCACACCAGCACAGTTGTGCATCAGCGATTCAGATGATGATAACAAAATCTAGCAAAGAACTCACAATATAGTTGAATTTCTAAATCCTGAACAAATCTCTAAATCCTCAGCCTCCGTGGAGAAGAATGGCTGACAGCCATGACCAGAGTATCATCTATCTCCACAAACACTGCTGAGGCTTTAGACCATAGCTGCCCTAGAACCCTACCAACAACAAAAAGTCAGATGAAATGTGAAAAGACTGGAGGGACCTCCAGGCAATTTTATCACTCATCTTAACTACCTCTTATTGAGAGGCAGAACTTGGTGATAGAAACAAAACACACTCGAGTAACTTGTGTCAAAGTCCCAGGGCACATTCGATTACAAGGAGTATTCCAATCCTCTCTTTCCACGAACTCTGACCCCAATCCAGAAATGAGTGCTGGAAACAATACCACTACTGCCTCTGCTCAAGGGGTCAGGAATAGATCCCTCCTGGACCTAGAATTCTAACCTAGGGAAGCTGAGATAGCTCCCAAGGTGCCACCAGTTATTAAACTGTTTCTTTGGGACAGTTTCTTTAGCTAAGGTCTTTTAAGCATCTTCTAGAATGGACTTACTGTAAGTTACTGATACTTAAATTTTTTGAAAGAGCAACACACACACACACACACACACACACACACATACACACACACACACACACTTTCTCTTCATACCACCACCCGAGCCCTAACGAGACCACTGGCACTGGAATGGAGAGGAGCAGGAAGGAAGGAAGCTTCCTGTGTCCAACACTGCTCTTCTCTGTCCTCTACACTCTACACTCCGCAGAAGAATTTTGGAGGGGGCCATTCACACTTATTTCAGAGCTGTCAGAGGAGAGATATTACCACAGCAAAGCTTCATTCTCGCTGTTAAAGGAGGAGGAAGACCATGACAGAGTAAGGGGCACGTGACTGGCTGCAAAGGACTAATGAATACTTCTCTAATCCCGACCAAGAACTATCTTAAATCATAAAGATACGATAATATTAAAATAAGTAGTAGCTTCTCAATTGCCCCATCCCAGAAAATTCCCAACTGAAAGAAATAATGGGTAGAAAGTAGAAATAACCCAAAGAAAGTACACAGTGCTGGGAAGACTGAAATATCTGCAGCTGCACTCACAGAAGAGCAACGGGACAAAGCCTCTTGAGCTGAGATTACAAAGTGCACGCAGTAGCTTTTGCAGCATTAACCTGAACAGTCCGCAGTCCGCAGCCATGCTCCTAGTTAGACATTCCTTATCATTAGGCCAGGCATGGTGGCACACACCTTTAGGCCCAGCACTCGGGAGGCAGAAACAGGAAGACCTCTGTAAATCTGAGGCTAGCCTGTTCTACAGAGGGAGTTCCAGGAGAGCCAAGACTATGTAGAGAGACCCTGTCTCAACTCGCCCTCCCCGCTCCAAAAACAAAACCAAAACATACCTTATTGCTCTGACTCTCAAGTCCTGGGTAAAGGCTGAAGACGGTTGGCGAGACCACAGAGAACTCCTGGAGTTTTGTGTCAATCTGAGCAAGTTGCTGAGAGTCAGTGGCTGCAAGGGTATAGCCTTCTCCTGGGACCAGCCAACCACACTGATCACTCTAAAAGGAAACCAAGGTGACCAGGTCATTCCCGTGCTACATTTGTTTCAAAACATACTTTTTAGACCTCTCCATCAGAGCCCAGGGCTTACAAAACACAGACACCACTGGATAATGAAAAGTAAGTAAAGTTTATGGTTTTATTATCTTCTCAGCCTGGGCAAAGTGTCTTCTGGTGATCTCTTTAGAGTCCCTCAGCCTCATAAACTGGTTCTCTTTCATATGATCACTCTTCTACTTAAAAACAAACAAACAAACAAACAAACAAAAACTATGACATGTTGGGAAGAAATCAGCTTCAACAGATATATAAGTGTGGTATTTTCAAACTTTATCCCAATGAACCAAAATAATTTGGCCTTAACTAGTCTCCATGCCCAAATAAGTTTAGCCCAAAATCTTCGTGTATAGTGAACTATACTTAGCTTAAGATATAAACCAATTATAACAACAGTATGCTATTGTAACCGAGTAACTGAGTCCCAGCCAATCACAGCAGCTGCTGAGATGGTTCAGTGGTTAAGAGCTGGGGCTGCTTCTGCAGAAGAACCACATGCTGGTCTCAGCACCCACATCAGGGAGCTCACAACTGCCTAGAGCTTCACCTCCAGATCCAATGCCCTCTTTTGGCCTCTGTGGGCACACACACATGCACAGCATACATGCATACACATAAATAAGGATAAAAATTTAAGAAATAAGATCCATTTATAGGATCCATTCTAAACTGCCACACTGAATGTTTACGGTGCATGATCATTTTATCGGGCACAGGCGAGTCAATCTGAATGGGCACAAAGTGCTGCAGCCAGGGCTTGTTAGACTCATGGCCGCAAAAGTGGAAGAAGGTGTGATGAGTGGTGTTCAGAAAACTGACCTCGGGTTTATTACAATGTCATGTTATTTCCAGTAAAAAAAAAAAAACTGTACAAAGCCTGAAAGTCTAAAAATACAAGGAAAGTAGTACTACCCAATTAGTCACAAATAAGAAACTGGTTGATTCATTTCCCAAATAAAATTGATATAAATACTGAATGATCTAAGTGATGAACAATTACCAAAACTAAAATTATAGACCCAATGACTAAATAGCAATTCATTCAAAACTCTTGCCGGAATGAAATTATTTTTAATGAAGCTATAGTTAAAGGAATCTATCGCTAAAACCCAACAGAAACATTAATGTCCAGGCACCATGCAACCGCAGCAAGAAATGTCATATATTAAATGGAAGGTAACACTGTCTGGCTCTGCCTGTCCAGCACCACCTGGACGCCGTCAGCCTGTGTGGGAAGCTTAAACTTTCTGGCTTGCAGGTGCCTCACCTTCCCAAGATAGAAACCAGAGATGATCTCCCCAGCCTCCTTTCCAGTCAGGGTTCGAGCAGGTAACTTAGTAGCCAAGCTCATCCACTCACTAGTATCAGACGTAAGTGACCTGGGTTCCACTACAAAACCTGTTTGCTGCAATGGGGGACAGGTGAGGCCTCAGCCTGCAGTCTCACATTCATGTACATGAGTGTGTACACACAACACTTGTACACACATATTCACTGCATACACACACACACATACAAGCAATTAAAAAAGAATTCAAAAAATACAAGAAACATACTGTTTCAAAGGTAAAAACTTTCAACATTCTGAAACTAAATTTCAGATGACTTCAACACATTCAGGAGGAAAGGAAGGTGGGGGGAGAAAACCAATCCTACCCCAAATCTAGGCTGGTCAAGATGTGAGATTTTAGGAATGTCTTAGTTGGGGTTTCTATTGCTACATGGTGATGAAACACCATGACCAGAAATCAAGATGGGAAGGGAGGAAAGGGTTTACTCGGCTTATATTTCCACATTGCTGTTCATCACTGAAGGAAGTCAGGACAGGAACTCAGACAGGGCAGGATCCTGGAGGCAGAAGCTGATGCAGAGGCCATGGAGGGGTGCTGCTTACTGGCTTGCTCAGTCTGCTTTCTTAAGAACCCAGGACCTCCAGTCCAGGGATGGCCCCACCCACCATGGGCTGGGCCCTCTCTCAATGATCACTAATTGAGAAAATGTCTTACATCTGGTCTCATGGAGGCATCCCCCCCCCCCCCCCCCCCCGCACCACCATCACCCGCTCAACCGAGGCTCCTTCCTCTGATGACTCTAGCTTGTGTCAAGTTGACACACAAAACCAGCCAGTACAAGGAAGTACTTCTAAAGTTGAGAGATAATAACAATACCAGGTCAGAAACAGGATTCCCAAATAATGTGAGGGAAAAGAGTTAGCAAATAAAACAGATCAAATATGATCATTAAAATACACAATTTGACGTCAGGAAATGTGCCAAGTTTTATCAGTGGTCATTCCAAATAACAACAAAAAGTAGTTTAAAGTAACAAAAATATTGTTTAAATTGATACTATACAGTTTAAAATACGTGAGGGATAAAACATCAATACTAACTAAGCCAATATGCCAGACAATATTAATCACAACAATTCACTGTCAGAGCATAGCAAGAACAGTTAGAGAGAGAGGTACCGTATACTGACCACCCCAACAGGAAGGGGCTCACCCAGTTTCACAGTTAATAACTAAAAATGACACCCGGGTGTCCAATTCTGCTACTGAAGTTTTTGTTAATAAACTAAGACAATTACCTTGATGAGCGAAGCTGAGGTGACTTCAGAATTTTGTGGTGTTTAGCAGTGTGCGTCACCCACCCCTGGCCTCCATCCCTGCACCCAGCACCCACAGGGCCTTCAAAGGTTGTAATCTGTGAGGCTCTGACATTTGCCTTGGATTTGGAGTGGAAGAAGGGCTATTATGTTTGTCCACACAGAATTTTTTCCAAGGAATTAATTGTTGACATTTAAAACACATGTTTCCCATTTAAAAATCTGATTTTTTAGCTTCTCTCAAAAATTCGGATTCTGGCAGCCAGGGTAGTAACAGAGCTGGGGCCTAGTGTTCATCTGGAACAGCCTCCCCTGTGGCCACAGCTGTCACTGCGCATGGACTGCTCTGGAACCTCCAGTAAATGCTACCCTCGGCACCTGTGTGTCCTGGTCTCCCATTTGGCTGCAGGCCTCTGACACATAACCAGATCGCAGATAACAAGGATGTGGGCAGGGCCCATTCCAGTCCTATCAAATCCCTATTCAACCTGGGAAATAAAAGTCAGACCAGAGCACCAAGTGCTTCAGGTAACACACGAGAGCATGTTTCTTTGAGGAAATAAATTTGAAAACATTAGGATTTTATAAGGCAGAGAGTGTCTTTGAACTGGAAAATTGTAAATTTGTACTAAGAGGTCGAATGGCATACAAAGATCAAGACAGGTAAAGTCATTGACAGTCCAAGCTTACATACCTCAGAACTGGACAGTCCTGAATCTGTATCGTCCAGGCCTTTCAGGAGTTCATCCAGCCTTTTCCTCTCTCTGTCAATCATAACCACCGGGCTTCTTGAACTCTTGGCCAACTACAGGATGTATTAATAAGAAAGATAAACATGCAGTGCAATGTGTAGTCCAGTAAAAAAAATGAAAATTCTATAAAATAAATACACTAAGTTTTAAAATTTGAGAGATTAGTATTTTGATTTGCTAAGTAATTTTATTTTACCATAAATCTTTTATAAATGATCATTCTTCAAGCAGGTATTTCCAGTATATGCAAGTCCTCTTTTATCTGTGTGTGTGTGTGTGTGTGTGTGTGTGTGTGTGTGTGTGTGTGTGCGCGCGCGCGTGTTCATGCATGCATTGGTTGGCTACAGTACATATGTGGAAGTCAGAAGACAACTTGGGGGACCTTTCCTTCACTGTGTGGGTCCAGGAGTAGAACTCAGGCTTGGGGCAAGCACCTTTACCCACAAAGTCATCTCACTGGCTCCAGGCAGGCCTTCTTATTAACTTCAAAAGTCATTTTTATATAAAAAAAAAATTTTAATGTAAGCTACTTTCAAACTTCTTTCTCCAGATACATAGATACAGATGATAGATGCTTAGATATATTGATATAGGGGATATAGATATGCAGATGTAGAAGCCTAAAAACATTGGCTGAGACACCAAGACGGACTCGGATACCCCTGGTACCGCCCATCCACTTAGTGAAACTGCTTTTAAATTTCTAGAATGTCAGGGCTGATCATATAAATCAGTTGGTAGGACTTGTGAGACATGCATGAAGCCCTTGGTTCAATCTCTGGCACCTCAGAAACCTGGGCATCATGGTGCATATTTATAATCCCACGAAGCGTGAGGCCAGCCTGGGCTACATGAGACCTTATCTCAAAAATAAATTAGTTAATTTCTAGAATATCATATAAGGCATTTAAATAAAGATTCCATTGATATTGTTAAATGGAGAGAAGGGGAATCTAAATTGAAGCTATTGTGTAGATTAGCAAGAACTTGGAAACAGAGAAAACTCCACTATTCTTGGAAAATGAAACAGTCCATCAGGATCCAATGGGCCAGCAGAGACGAGGGCAGATGAAGGTGGGAACGGGTCCCTGAAGTTATACGGACAAGGAGCACAGAAGACAGAGAGCAGCAGAGCCCGGCCTGGCAGAGCCCGGCCTGGCCGTGGCAGATGGACTCGGGAACCAAGATGCATGGAACGGCATGCCAGCTGTGAGAAGCGCTTGAGGCCCGAGCTGAGGACACAGCTCTCTCGTCTTGCTGATGCTTTATCACCGTGGTTTCCCAGTGACGAGCTGTCCAAGTAGTCACTGTGAGCGTCTGTCCACCCCACAGACGTTCCTTGTAGATTAATTAATTAGCATTCTGGGCTAATAAAGGAGTCCCTGTGCTCTTAACTCATCTGTGTCTGCCTTAAAGACAAACCAAATCGGGTTGCCCAGGCTGTGGTGCACCAAGGATGAACCCCTGAATCAAGGATAGTAACCAAGCACTGGGATATCAGAGTGGGGGACAGGAGGGGGGACCAGAGGAGAGATCAGAGCGGGGATTAAGGGGAGGTAGACTACCAGCTGGTCTCTAAGCCAGGCTTGCTGCTCCGCCAGGAACGTTTTCCACTCCAAGTTGTAAACGCAGTCACTACAATATCAAGTCTTGTAACAAAAGTAAGTCGATAAACACACACACACACACACACACACACACACACACACACACACACACACACACACACTTTATTGATGTGCAAGTTAAAATCTGGAGAGCTCAAAGCTCTTTCCATTTCAGAAACTAAACTATTTCTGAATGAAAATTTTAGTTGGAGCTAGCAGTTTTGAAAGAGACAGACTAGGATAGAAGGAGACGGGGTAGTGCAAGATGGGTGATGTGATGTAACTAGACTAGAGAGCCTACACAGGCATGTGTACCCACATATGCACATACGCACATGCACCACCCACTCACACACGGACAGACAATGAATAAATCCCACACCGGGACCCTCTCTGGCCCCGGCACACTCCCACATTGTCGCTTGAATCATGAGATACTCACCTCAATGTTCCGCTTAATAAAATCCTGGCTGGGTTTACTCCTAAGCTCAATCTTTTCTGTATTTGAAAGGAGTTTCTTTTCTGTTTTGATCAGTGGCTCATTTTTTTCCACATCACAGGTAAAATCTAGTATTGAAAAAGTTCAAGATGAGCTCATAATTATAATTGTGTGCCATACTAAAAATTCATTTTAAGTATACATTAAAATATATTTTAAAAACACATATAGAATAAATAATTTTTAAATTCTTGACCTAGAAACACAATATGGACTCTTTCTTTGTTTTAGATTTATTTTCTCCCCATCTTCTTTAAGCCAGATTTCTATCAGTGGCAGCGTACTTTTTAAAATAATTTTTTAATTAAAATACAATTATATCATTTCCCTCCTTCTATTTCCTACCTCAACCCCTACCATCACCACCACCACCACCACCAGGTACCTGCCTTGCTCTCTCTCTCAGATCATGGCCTCTTTTCCTTTAATTGTTGAGATATATATATATCATATATATATATATATATATATATATATGATATATATATATATATCATAAATATATATAAATAAACATTTATATGCAACCTGTTCAGTCCACATAAAGTTACTTGTATGATATGATTTCAGGGCTGTCCACTTGGTATTGGATAACCAACAGGGAGGCTCTTTCCTGAAGAAAACTATTTCTCCCTCTCTCACAACCAATCAAAATGCAGAGAACAAATGATGGTGGGGTGTTCAACCCCAAATGATACATCTACAAGACAACTCCTGCACCTGAGGCTCAGAGAGTGTTATGGAAGAAGAAATCCTTCCTGTATTTGAAAAAGGTTTCTTTTCTGTTTTGATCAACGGCTCATTTTTTTTCCACATCACAGGTAAAATCTAGTATTGAAAAATTCAAAATGATTACATAATTACAATTGTGAAAAAAGACTCTAAGAGCCAGAGGAACAGGAAGTCTACAGTCTACTTTTTAAAAACTATCATGCAAAATTTCAAACACCCAGTAATAGAGTGCAATAATGAAGTTTCCATCGGTAACTTTAACATGGGTCAACTCACAACGGATTATATGCGACATGTGTTTGTAACGCTGTGACTGAACCTAGGACGTGTCCTGTCTTAGACAAGTTCTCTGCCACTGAGCTATAACCTCAACCTTTATGTTGCACCTTAAACTCTAGCTACTTATATCTGTCCACTACTATAAATTATACCAAGTCCCCTTCATCCATGGCTATTTCTGTATACATCCAGCATCCTCTTGTGGCAATCTATATAAATCACACTAATTAAACATACCCTTCTTGACAGTCTGCACGCAATTTTCATAATTTTCTGGAGGAATCTGAGTATGAAATACCGAGAAGAAGGTGTCTTCAGACTCACAGTGTAAAGGCTCTCCTGACACAAAAAGAGAAAAAAAGCACTTGTTCAATCTATACAAAACAAAATGATTTACACAGCTGAAGAGAGAGAGAGGATTGAATGCTCCTCTGCTATTCCTCAACCCCTCCACACTCACCAACTGTTTTTTAAAAGTCACTCCCAAGTTGAAATGGCAGTCATCATCACAGGAGCCACAGACTTAACGAATGGCAGAGGACAGCCAGACAGCACTTCCCTAGACAAGACAGCAGGATGGCACTTCCTAGACGCACAAGAGCCCGCTAGAGCATCACCATTCTCTACCGATGACCTAGGCAGATCCCAGACTGTGATACAGACACTGCACACACTCAGTAACAGAATTATGTTTTCCGTCTTTATTTTAGGCCTCCAAGTTGAAGATTTTAAGTGTACAGTCGGCCATCAGTGACTGCCTTTGAGCTAGGCATGGTAGCAGGTAACTGAGATTTCAGCAACAGGGAGAGGACGCAGGAGGCCCAGGAGTTTAAGGTCATCGTCTGAGATACAGCAAGTTCAAGGCCAGTCTGGGCTTTATAAGTCTCTGTCTCAGAAAAACAAAAGACAAGGCCTGCAAGATGGCTCCATGGGCCAAGGCACTTTGTGCAAGCCTGATGACCTGAGCTCCATTCCAAGTAAAGATGGAGGGTCTTCTACCTCCACACGTGAGCTATGTAAAGATGGAGGGTCCTCTACCTCCACACGTGAGCTACGGCATGCACTCCCCATCGACCTGCACACACACACACATACACACACACACACACACACACACACACACACACACACACACACACACACACTTTTTAATTTAAAAGAGAGAGAGTACATTTGGGAGACTCGTGGAAGTTAGCATTCTCTTGAGCTAAGCTCCATGAAGAAAATATGACATTGCAATGTTTAACATATTTTGTTTGACTGCAATTTTTTTTATGTTCTCATATTAGTCAATTTAATCATTGTATATCTTCGTCCTGGCTAGGTTTATGTCAACGTGACACAAGCTAGAGTCATTTGAGAGGAGAGACTCTCAGTTGAGAAAATGTGTCCCTAAGCTTTGCTTATAGACAAGTACATGGGAAGTCCCAGCCCATCATGAGTGGTGCCATCCCTATGCATGTGGGCCTGAGAAAAGCCACAAGGAGCAAGCCAGTAAGCATCACTCCCCCATGGCCTCTGCATCAGTTCCTGACTCCAGGTTCCAGTTCTGCTTGAGTTCCTGCCCTGACTTCCCTTGGTGATGGATGTACCCGGAAGTGTGATTGAATTAAACCCTTTCCTCCCCAAGTTGCTTTTGGTCATGGTGTTCTCCCACAGCAATCGTTTGTTTGTTTGTTTGTTTGTTTGTTTGTTTGTTTGAGACAGAGTTTCTCTGTGTAACAGCTCTGGCTGCTCTGGAACTTGTTTTGTAAGCCAGGCTGGCCTCAAACTCACAGAGATTCACCTGTCTCTGCTCCTTGAGTCCTGGGATTAAAGGCATGAGCCACCACTTCCTAGCCCTAAAACAATCTTAAAAATCAGTTTCCTCAGTGACTTAACATGACATGTGGCCAGTTTGTGCCACAGAAATCTTTTGTTTTAAAAAGCATGGCAAGTATGGTGGTGCACATCTTTAATCTCACCACTTAGGAGGCAGAGACGGCTGGATCTCTGTGAGTTCGAGGCCAGCCTACACAGTGAGTTCCAGACCAACCAGGGCTACATGGTGAGACTCAAAACAAAACAAAACAAGTTTCACACACTATCCACAAAATTAAAACTGATAAATTGTTTTTCACTAAAATGAAACATTTTGGGATTGGAAAGATAGTTTAGGTGGTAGAGTGCCCACTGCACAAACACAGCACCTCAGTGCAATCTCTGGAACCCACGCAAAGGAAGTTGGGTGTGGTGGTGCATAGTTGTAATCCCAGCATTGGGGAGACAGAGACAGGAAGATCCATGAGACTCATTAGCCAGTCAGCCTTGATGAATCACTGAGCCTCAGGTTCCAGTCAGAGTCTTTATCTATAATAATAATAATAATAATAATAATAATAATAATAATAACAATAACAATAATAATATTGACAGATCCTTAGGAACAAATGATGGTTAGCTTTAACTGTCAATCTCACACAACCTAGAATCACCTGGAAAGAGAGTCTCAGTAAGGGATTTTCTACATGGGATTGGCCTGTGAGCATGTCTGGGGGTGCTGCCTTAAGTTAATTGATGTAAGAAGATCCAGTCCACTATGGGCAGCACCATTCCCTAGGCAGGAGGTCCTGAACTGCATAGGAGTAGATAAATGGAGCTGAGCACAAGAAAGCAATATGGTTCATGTATACCTTTCTCCCTTCACTGTGGATGTGATATGACAAGCTTCTGCCACAAGCTTCCTCCCAGTGATGGACTGTAACAGAGAACTGTGAACTACCAAGGTTCTTTCTCCCCTAAATTGCTTTTTATCGGAGTATTTTATCACAACAACAAAAAATGCAACTAGAACAGATAGTTATCAATAGAATGAAGTATTATTCATAACAACCAAAAAAAAAAAAAGTTTAGCTACCATGTCAGCAAAAGGCATAAGTACATACTTCTAAGTGAAAGAATGTAGTCGAAAGGCTTTCACTGAAAATTCCAATTATACAACATTCTTGAAAGGGCAAAACTATAAATAGAGTAAAATTCAGTGGCAGCTAGAAGGTTGGGGAAGGAAGGAGAGCTGAATGAGGGTTCACACAATGGGCTCTTTTAGTGCAGTAAAACTATGCCATATAACACAGTAATTGTGCATGTTGGCACTATGCCTTTTTAAAAAGCATTTACCACCCGAACATAAAGAGTGAAAATCAATGTTTGTAGATCTTTTGAAAAGATCACTTAAGAGACTGAGGAATTGGCATGTGGAATGCAGAAATGTGGTAACACAATCCAAATGTATAACAAATGAATAACACAATCTCATTAAATAGAAACATATGAAAAGGTGCCCGCTTAACTCCAAAACTCTAACTCTGAAAAATGGATCCTGAAAGACCAAAGGCAACAGAAACTAAATGTGAGAACTACGTTCCAGGTGGTAAAAGTGTTTTCTGTGGGTTAGCGACACTGTGTACCCTGCAACTGAATAAGTGAGTAAAGAGATGGCGGAAGGTGGGAACAGGTTTCTCAACGTTGAAATACAGATAAGCAAGAGGGTTAAACCACAACTGTCCACGTCGGGTGATGGAGTACAGGCAGACACATGAGTGTGTGCGAACTCAATTTTAGCTCATACAGAAACGGCCACATACAGGCATATTTATAGACACGTGCGCAATGGGTTAGTATACACACATACATTTCTTTTCCTAGAAGAAACTCCCAGATGGCACCCAGATGCTGACGTCCAATACCACTCTCCAGTGACAGGAATCAGGCTCCTTGGAGACATGGCTGGTTCCAAGACTCGGGTGGGGAATATAGAAGAGTCAGAAACAAGAAAAAGAAGATGTGCCCAGCAAGAGAAACAAGACAAACCCCACAGCGACAGCAGGCGGCAAAGGGACGCGGGTCAGCTAAGAGACCATCCGACGGCCAGATGGGAAGTGGGGCCAATCCAACTCACAGTGTAGATCAAAATCCACTGATACCAGCCTAGTACTGACACAAATGAGTGAGTCAGAGAGAAACGGACAACGCTCCCTGCAGAACAATGCAGGATAGTGTAGGCCCATGTTCTGCTCTCAGTGGGGCAAAGCATGGCTCCCCACTCCTCAGATGGAGACTGTACAGAGCCACTTCGGAGTGGCTTTACAACGGAAAACTCGGACAAACACTTCCTCTGCCAGAGAAGGGATATATTAACACCGTGACGTAATGAACATGCACCTTAACTCTGTCATCTGCCTCCCAAGAGTGAGCAATCCAGTCTGATCATAGGGAAATCATGAGCTCAATTCCAACTGGTGGATATGCTACAAAATGCCAGACCAGTGTGCCTCAAAACTGCCAAGATCATTACAGACAAGGAAGCATGAGGGCTAATATAATGTGGTGTCCTGCATGGGATCCTGGGACAGGAGAAGAACATTAGGCAAAAATTAAAGAAATGTGAATAAAGTTGGGTTTTGCTTAACAAGATAGTACCAGTACTGGTTCACTTCAAACATACCACACTCATGAAAGGTACCCCTGATGGGCTGGTGTAGACAGGAAAAAAAAAAATCTCTGTACCATCCTTGTAACTCTTCTGTGAATTTGAAGTTCTGCTAAAATTAAAAGGCTTACTTTTTTCTTAATTTCCTTTTTTTTTTTCAAGTAGGGAAAACCAGTAACAAAATTAGACATAGTAAGAAGACACACAACATGGAGAATTACTATTAAGATACTAATTTGAGATGCTGCATTAGTGGGGTTTTTCTTATTGTGTATGTGGAGACTTTAAATCCAGAGTGAGGACTCCTGCCCAAACTGACTCCGGAAGAACCATCAAATGGGAGGACAGCGGACCTGAGAGAAGCCGAGAAGAGTCAGAGAATGGCCTCCAAGAGACGACCTGAGCCAGATGGGTTTCCAGTGAAATCGTTCAGATAATCCCCGTGTTATGTAAACTGTTTCAAAGCACAGAAATAAATGGTGGCCATGATCTCTGATTTTCTGAAGTTAATATATCTAAGCACATATACCCACTACTCCCACCCTCTCATTACAACATCCGGGCATGCACACAGAAATGTTCACACATGTACACACACACACATATACACAAAACCTAATCCTTTCTCGTTTGTTTGGGTGCACAGATGTGTATATGTGTGTGGGCCCGCTCACGCCATAGCGCACATGTGGAGGTCAGAGGACAACCCGAGGGGGTTGGCTCTCTCCTTCAACCGAAGGCTCTGGGGATGGAACTCAGTTGCTCAGGCTTGGCAGCAAGCACCTCAACCCACTGAGTCATCTCTCGGCCTCTAATCCTGCTTTAGAGAACAGAACTTCTGAATAAATTCAGCTATTCAAATCAGTACCAATTAAAAGAATAATCTTCCATAAGCAAGAAGGGCTGACCTTGGAATAAAAGATAGATTCATTATTTAAATCTATTACTTTAAAAATGTTAATTTTATCAAGAAATCTATAATAATTTAACTAGCTGTTGAAATGGGCTGCATAATCTTCTACACTAAGTCTTCAGTTAGTGTTGAGAATGAGAACAATTATTGAAGACACAAAAATTAACATTTTTCTGGTTAATAAGTTCAAAATTAACAAGATCCAAGGCATACAACTAAAGATAATCACAATGAATAACATGATCTAATTAATTATAAAATATTACATAACAGAGTATAATTATAAATTATAATACAGTTAATCATAAATTCATAAAAAGTCTATCTTTTCTCCACATCACTTAGAAATTGTGAAAATATGTTGAAGTAGTCACCAATTGAAGTAGATATAGCACAGAGCTACATAAGACCAATGAATAACTAATAAATATGTGAAACCCACCAAATTCCCTGGTATATGAACGATCATATGTGAGACACCATATTCTCGTTAATGTTGTCTAGTAATCATGGAAATGCTAAAAAGAACCCAGTCTATTGAGTACGTATCTCCTGTATTAAGGGATACAAGCTGCCTTGTTGTATTGTAAATATTCTACAGAGGAATTCGTGGAATTCATAAGGAACTTAAGAGGCTAGCCAAAGGTCTTCCAGGAAGTATTATGAGTGATGTTAGAAGCAGCCTTGGGCTCCAGGAGCCCCTTCAGACGACCACCTACTTGTGTCATGAGGAAACCTAGTCAGAACCACCCAGCCACACTCCTCCAAGATGGCTGAAATTCTAAGGGCAGAACTGCTTGTTTGTTTTTTCAATAGGCCAGGTTCTGAGCTAATCTGTTATGTGGCGACAGATAACTAATACAATTACACCACAGAGAAATAAGGATAGCAGGAAGAAAAGAAAAAGGATAAAACCAAACAGCCTCTTAGAGAAATGCTGAAGACTAGACTCCTAAGAGAGAAGAGAGAGGGGAGCTGCTGAAGAGGCAGAAGAGTCTCTCCGAGGAACTGTTACTGGGGAAGACCTTTAGGAATCATGAGGAACTTGCTCTGGATGTTTAATTCCAAGTCAAGACAAACTAGGTCCCACGCTGAGAGCTTTGCTCCTTTAAGAACGGGCTGCGACTAGATGCTGCCACCCAGTGGACAATGTACAAATAGTTGGCACTTTCCCCATCACAGCAAGGGACACAGGAACACTCTGGGTGGACAGGAATGTGCCAGCTAGGTGTATGCCAACCTGACACATGTCAGGAAGAAGGAAATGCTAACTGAGAACGCTTCCAGAGGCTTGGCCTGCTTTCCTGTCCTGTTACCCTCCCCAACTGCCTCCCCGGACGCTGCTTTTCCCCTTCCCTTGGGCCCTTTTCTAGTTCCCTGGCCTCTACACACACTCGCTCCCACATAAACACACGTGTAAAAATCAGAATCTGGGATTGGCACATGATCGAGGACAGGTACTCTCTGTCTTTCTGAGACTGGGATACCTCCCTGGAAATCGGTTCTTTGCCTGAAAACTTCATTTTCACTGCTCAATACGACCCCATTGTGTGCACATACGACATTCTCGTTATCCAGTCACCTTCTGATGGACAGCTAGACTGATTCCATTTTCTTGCTACTGTGAATAGAGCCGCAGCAAACCTAAGTGGGCCTGTACTCTATGCAGGACATGGAATCTCCTGGGTGGATGCCCAGGAGTGGTCTCGCTGGGCTGTAGCACAGTTCTAGTTGTCCTTTTGGGGGCACTTCTGCTCCGATTTCCAAGGTGACTTCACCAGTTTATACTCCGACCAAGACTGAGGAAGAGTTCCTCTTTCCCCACAGCCTCACCAGCACTGCTCATACGTTTTCTAGATGACAGCCATTCCGACTCGTGTGAGATAGAATACCTACGTAGTTTTAATGTGTGTGTGTCTTTGATGATTAAGGATGTTGAACACTTTTAAAAATATTTACTGGTCATTTGTATTTCTCCTTTTGAGAATTATCTGTTCTGTCAAAAAAAATGTGTCTACTGTTCTATAGGCTATCTGTTCAATTTGTAGTTAGTTTCTTTCATTATGCACAAGCTTTTTAATTTATATGTATATATATGTGCTCATTGCACATGTGCGTGTGCGTGTGCGTGTGTGTGTGTGTGTGTGTGTGTGTGTGTGTGTGTGTGTGTGTGTGTGGTATGTGAAGGCCAGAGGGCAACTTGCAGGAGTCAGTTCTCTCCTCCTACCCTGTGGGTCCTGGAGGTTAATCTTGCATTTTCAGGCTTGGATGCAAATGTCTTTGCCCACGGAATCATCTCATGGGCCCATCAAGCATTTTCAGTTTCTCGAAATCCCATGTGTCATTTCTTGGAGCTATTTTCTGTGCTGCCGGGGTTCCGTTCAGAACATTCCTTCCTATGCCTCTATCCTAAAGTGTTGTCCCTAGCACCTTCAATGTCTTGGTTTTAAATTAAGGTCTCTGGTCTGATTTGAATTGATTTTTGTGTGGGGTGAGAGATATGGTTGTAATCTCACTCTTCTGCAGACGGCTATCACGTTTTGCCAGGACCATTCATTTAATAGGCTGTCTTTTTTCCAGTGTATGTTTTATCACTTTCATTAAGCCAGTAGAGACTTGGAGAAGTCCATTTACAAAGAAGTCAGTCCTTCCATATCGAGGGGGCAGTGCAGATGGAGCACCCAGACTCCTAGGAGAACAGCTGGGGGCACCGTAAACCCTAACTGCTCTGCACAGTTTGTAAAACAGGAAACCAGGTTGCCCAATGTGAATTAACAATAAAATTTATATTCACAAATACATTAAATATACAATACTTATATGTATTAATATATTTTAGAATTTATATTTTACATCATATAATGGTACTTCTTTTTATTTGTTTATTCTTCTCTCGTATATTGTCTTTAGTATCAGGTGACATTTTCATTTTCTTTTTACTTCAATAGTAATGAGTATGTATACCTAAAGCTTTAAGCTGAAACATTAAAGTGCCATAAACTGAAATGCTAGTCCATCACAGACAAGATGCATGATGGAAGAAATAAACATTCAGCAGAAACACTGAAAACAATAAAAGAAATTCTTTACTGGGGAAAAAAAAAAACAACTAATCACTCAAGGTTCTGAGCTCTCAGTGCTGCCGCCCCCCCTACCCCCCCTACCCTCCCCCTCAACCCCCGAAAGGGACAAATGTGAAGAGATATTCTCCCTCAAACCACACCTCCACCAGAACTCCTCCCACAGCCCCGAATCAGGCATTTGGGGTTCTGAAGTGTTAAACATCCCCTTTGTAAAGGACAAAAGGAACTCAGCCTTCTCAGAGAACTCAGAGGCCCTGCTTAGAGCATCCCTGGCCACACAAAACTGGACTGCCCCCTATGTGGCATATGAAAGGGGATTCTGAAACTATCCTACTGCAAAAGAAGGGAGAGAGGGAAGGAGGGAGGGAAAGAGGGAGGGAGGGAGGGGGAGGGAAAACAAAGAAAAGCAAAGAAAGAAGCAAAACTGACTGCCTCTAAAGGAGGGCTGTGAGACAGCAGGTAAGCCAGCAATGGACCTTTACAAAAAGGACGCACAGGACTGAGTGATCCGTAGTGAGACCTCAGCAGGGAGAGACTGAGGGCATAAAACAGCATCTGGAGGATCCAAGAGGGACAGGAAGTGAGTGCAGACACACGGGGCCTGCTTCAGGGTTCCCTCTGCTCTCTCCCTCTCACCCCTGCAGATAGAACAGCCCTTAAAACACTAAAACAGATCTACCCTCAGACACTTCCCTACAGCCCTACCTAAGATGATCAATTATTTCCTCAGGGGCAGCACACGCCACCCCTGGATAAGAGCACTAGCGACCTCCCTCTACTCACCAGCTGTTCCTGCAGACTTCGAAGTCAGACACAAAAACCTTTTTGTGTTTTCCGACTCTTCGTCATTTTCCAAGTCTTCAGTGCTTTTTGCAGACTGATGGAAGAATAGTTTAAGTTTAAATATGAAAAAGGAAAGTAAATATACCAGCCAGTTCTTAATCTAACCCAGTTCTCAACTGTGTATGTACACAGGAAGGTTTAGTCATTTACATTCCTTTACCTAGGAAATCTGCTAATATTTCCTGTTTCTCCAAAATTCCATCAATAGGTTTTCCCAGAAAAAGACTTACATACACATTGCTTAAAGTATCTTCATAGATAGAGAGAGAGAGAGATGCACAGGTACATACAAATATATGTATATGTATATATATATATATATATATATATTGAATTACATACATACATATGTATATATTGAGTTATCCACAGGTATCCATCAAATTGAAATTTCAAGACGTTTTATTATGCTTCTATTTGTAATTCTTATTTCAATACAAATTAAAATTTCTTTGTGTTTCAGCAGAAAGCAAACAGATTCACTTTTTCGGCTAAATTGTACAAAATCATCCTCTTGTTTACATCTGGCCCAGTTTTCTGTTCACCCAGATAGTCTTCCTAGGAAGCTCGTACAAGTGCGTGCCTACTCACGGCCCTGGAGTTAGCCAGTGGCTGAGGATGGCCCTCAGAATCGGCAGTGTGTTACTACAGGGTCGCTCACTCACAGCTGCTCTCCTTGGAGGAGTGAATTACAACTGAGTCCGCGCCAACATTTATTCAGCTTCGACCTCTCCACGCTATGGAGCACAAGAAGCCAGCGGAGGCCAAAGGAAGTTGAAATCAGGCTCCAGAAATGTGGCAACACGGAGGCAAAGGGACCACAGCCCAGGCTGAAGCCATTTTGTAACTTCTCAGGAAAGTCTGAACAGCACAGGAGGGAGTGAGCCCCGCAGCAGAGGTCTGCTGGGCTTGCCCACAGGCAACGAGCATGCCAGAGCAGGGCCAGAAGGCTGGAATGTCACAGACCAACTATCGTCCCTGGTTCCAGAAAACATCCATCGCACGCACGCACGCACACACGCACGCACGCACGCCCACTACTTTTGCAAAATAAGTCAATAAGGCAGGACCACATTACCACCACCACAGGCCACACTTTCCTTATTATTAGAGGAAACTGACTCACAGTTCTTACCTTGAGTTCCCCCCACAGCTTCATTCTCATTTCTGCACCTCGCTTTTTAACTTCCTTTTCTCTGCATTGTCTTTTGGCCAGTATCTTATCCAGTCTGTGCATTTTACGAATAGCATTTTGAAGCTGAGCATCTGGCCCCCCGAGAACACCTGCATTGCATTAAAGGTAGAAATGGATTTGAAGCTGGATAAAACAGCAAAGTTTTGCTTTGATTTTTACTTTTTGTTCTCTCATCCGCCGATACTTATGGCCAATGGTAGCACCTAATACACTTAGTATCAAGTACTAACTTTGTGGACAAAGTGATTTCTTGAGTGTCTTTTCATATAACTGTCCAATCACACTGAGAGGCGGACATTTATCTCTGTGCCACAGTGGGACCACTGAACCCTTCAGAGGGGTCGTAAGTTCCGGCACTGGGCACAGAAGTTGTTCTCTTGTGATTTTAAGTCCCAAGTTCTCCTCCATCCTGCCAGATTGTCTACATCCAAACCTACCAAACAAAAAGTAAAGACTGAGACGCGCACCCTGTTCTAAACTGTTTCAGACTAACTGAAAGGGGAGGCATGTACCAGAGAGCTACATACAGTAGAGGGCAGCGTATCCCGAGCCACGTATTCCACATCCATAGCCACGCCTTTTCTGACCCCTCTCCTTTTTTTTTTTTTTTTTAATCACATAAAATATTTGTAAGAAGACGATAACAGGTGATATCTTATTTTAAATTAAGGACTTTAGAAGTTTTGTCATTCAGGGCTTAACTGACAACCTAATAACTAATGATAAAATAGTAACAGCGACTGCCATGTGTAGACTTGCCCAATGGGAAGAGTGCCAAGTGCTTTTCTCACAGGCACTGATCAGCCCTCCTCACTGCTCAGTCCTCATAGTAGCCCAATGCATCCTCTCTTCCTTTTAATTGGTAAACTGAGGCAAATTTGTATCTGAATGGCATGCATATCCAAAGTGGTCTAACTAGTAAACAAAACAGTAAGCTCCACCTAAATTTGTCTGACTCACAGTGAGAGCACTTAGCTACCAGGTAACACCCCCCTGTGAAAACTGATAAACTTGAAATGAGCATCAGTGTTCCAGTACTAAGTCTCAGACTTCCCAGGTCAGGTCATTTAAAACAGTATGTCATGCTGAGTGAAAGCCCAAAGAGTCAGTGATGTTTGCCTATAATGGACATTTCTAACTCTTTAAGGAAAAAAGAGGGAAGATATCAAAAAAGAGTATTAACCTAACAAGGAGGTTTCTAAAATGATGCTGCTTGCATACTTCAAGTATAATAGCTTCTAGTTTAATTCTAGCTGCCAATCCTGGCACTCCCAGGCTCACTGCCCACATACCAGGTATTTTGAACAGACTCACACAATATGAAAAAAATATATAAATAGATACTGGGAACTGGGCCTGACAGCTAATCTCAACAACTCCCTTAGCTCTTTCTTAACAACTACAACCCCACACAATTTGGTGCCATGGTCTGTACTGGCAGTTAGGCCCAAGCAGCTGACTCACCATTACTTCTGGGCCATCACTACAAATGCCAATACAGTAGGCAAAAATGCAAATGGTATCTATCCCAGTGTCATGATGAAGATGGTATTTACCTCACAGAGTCTCTGCAAGAGCCTCAGAGACACCCACGTCCCCAGAGTCCTGCACAGCACAACTGAAAACTGCAGTTCTAACTCAATCTGACCAGAATTAATTTAATATCACAAGAAAAGTAGCTTTTAAGATATCAATATTACGCATCATCACGGGGATTGCCCTTAAAGGGTATTTATAAATGACCTAATACATCTTATTCTGCAACATTAGCCATCAAAACTGATCCATGAACCATGCCATACAATATAGAAATATTCCCCCTTAATGAATGCAATATAAGCATAATAATAATTTTATGAAGTAACATGTTTTGTTATATTTCTAAATGTAAAGACTCGATATTCTTATATGTAAAAAGCAGTGATTAATTTCTCACCAAAAGCAAGTCTCCTTTTTAGTTTATCGCTTGTACATAGCTGACAAATAGACTTCTAATACTTTAAATACAGTATCTGCAATTATCATTGGCCAATCACGGAGTGATCATCCCACCTGAATGCTCAGGGACCATCTGCTGAGTCAAGTCCGGGTCTTCCGCAGAGCCCTCCCGGGCTGGTTTTGTGTTCTCAGAGTAGCCTGCCCACTTGTCAGGACGACTGTTTCTTCTGTCTTCCATGCTTCTGTTTGACGAGTGGCCCTCCTTACTAGAATTCAACTTGTTTACCATATCAATCTAAAAACAATTTTCAACAAAAGAATTTCCAAAATATAATACTCAAAGACACTTAAAAAGAGAATATATTTCCTTAAAACTTCACACTTCATAGCATTTAACATTAATGAAAGCACATATGGAAAAGTGTAAATACAGACTAGCACTGGAGCTCCTAGAAACGTAGGACCTTTAACAAAGTGCAACTTAACTGCAAATTAAATTTAATATTTTACCAAATAAATACCATTGTCCCACAATCTTAAATAATAATGCGGAAGAGCTGAAACTGGCCCTGCAGAGCCATGCTTAGGAATGCTGCTCTCCGCTGTCCTCCACAGCGGTCCCTTCCCCCGTCCTGCTGCTGAGAGAGCTGAATGACTCACAAGTGTCTATTTTGAATGAGGTGTGTTTCTGATAAGAGACTTCTAAAGAGACTCATATACTTTGGTTATTCTTAGTTTCCTATTTTGTTTCAACTTCCCTTTACACTTCAGCAAACTTCATTTTGAAAACAACAGTTTGGCCTAGCTGTGTTTTCCTGAGAGAGGGCGAAAAGGGACATTCATGGATGGGTCAAGAGAAACTAGTTTGCAAAACTCCAAAATCCGCACAGAACAATGAAAGCCACAATGCGAAAAGGGACATTCATGGATGGGTCAAGAAAAACTAGTTTGCAAAACTCCAAAATCCGCACAGAACAATGAAAGCCACAATGCAGTAAATACATCCCAGGAAGAGTTGAGTTCTCAAAGGAACTCTCTCCATGGACGACTGTCTACTCCAGCCCCCCAGCCTCAACCACTGGAAGGTACTCACATACTCAACACTCCACCAGAGCGATGGGCAGCCCTAGTACTGATCTCAAGGGCAGATGTGTGACACTGAGAATAAACTGGCAAGTCTGCAACTCTCTTCATGAGAAGAGATAGGGTCTCTGTTGTTAGGCACCATGTACACCAGGTTAGCTGGCCAAAGCTTTGGGGAATTCTCCTGTCTCCAACCCCTCACCTCATCACAGAAGCACTGGATTTATAGATGTACACTACCATACCCAGCTTTATGGAGTTCTGGGGGTTCGAACTCAGGTTCTCACAGTACATGGCAAGTACTTTACCTCTGAGCCATCTATTTTTAAATACTGAACCATTTTCATAGTAAATGTCAATGGGTGTATATTAGATATTGGAATACAAAGTTCCCTTATGAAGCCAAACAACACACAAACCTTATCAAAGTTTAACATAGATTTAAAAAAAAAAATACCCTAAAAGAAAGCCAGCAGTGGAGAGGAGAGAGAAAAAGAACTAAGCGTGCTCATCCCGAACAATCTACGGAAGTCAGGAACCTGTGAATACGCTCTGAAGGCCTCTAATGATGACATTTCAATGGGAGTTAACGACAATCGTGGTTTCCTCGATTGTGACTGGGAGCTCAATTCCTTTCCAAGCAGAAGATTACCTTGAAGGCCCCTGGTTCCGGCGAGAGCACCTCCAGAGAAGCATTCGAACTTCTGCTCCCAGGACGGGACCTTGAACTAGAGGCTGGTTTTGAAATTCCATCTAGGTTTCCCTTTATAACATCCATCGACATCCTAAACCAAGCCAAAAGAATTAAGAAGCAAGTGACTTAGAGATCTAAACGGCTCCTTAATCAGTTTATGTTTACAGCCAATTACTCAGAACCTGTTCACCACCAAAGTCATATATATATGCTCTTCCATGTCATCAAAAGAACAGATTATGCCAGATTATGCATCAGATACTGACAGCAGTTGAAGTGGAATGCAGATGTGAATGTTGTCTCACTGTCTTGAAGCAGGAAAACAAAAACAGAAACGTGTGACCTTGCTCTTCCCCACGAGAACACTCCAAGGACACCTCTCTCAGTCTAGGCCCACTGCTAGGGGCTCCTGGCTCCCTCCTTCTGGGCTCATCCCACTTCCAGCCTTTCCTGCTCCAGATCAGTCACACTGAAGCACTTTCCTCATTTAATCAGCTCTCCCCTCCTAAACTCCGCAGCTCTGCTTCTAACTGGCACACGAGAATAAAACGCACATCCTTTATTGGAGGACAGACTTGCACTAGCTGGCTGTACTCTGTCAACCTCCTCTTTAACGACTTTCCATTAGACTCTACCCACAGACTGTCTTCATCATCGCCACTGTACGTCTAGTGTGGATTTGGGAAGTGAGACTAGCTTAACCTAGGCACAACAGCTTCAGCTGGAGGGAGAGGGTAAACACTGTGCATACAGCCTTCCAAACCAGGCCTTTGATAAAGACCCTTCTGGATCTGCCTGGTGGTGGTGGAACAGTATGCATACTGGAAACTAGAAGGAACTGAGAATCCAGCTTAAATATGAATGGATAGCTTCTGCCAAATCATTCCTAAATGCTTATGATTGCACATAAGCAACGAAACTGCAATGTCCCTCCTTATTCCACAAAGGGGCCTGTCTTTCATGCTTGTGTGGACCACAGACTCAGAACCTAAAGAGGCTTCACACATAGAAGGAAGCACAAACATTAATAAGCTGAAGATTTTCTCAGGCACACTGAGAAATAATACGGCGTGGCCTCCAGCTGCTCAATGTGCCACTGCTGCTAACTTCAGAGAACAGTTGGTCAGCTCTTCCCACTCAGCAACTGAAAAAGGCATTGATGTCAACATTATTCACACTCCGTAAAAGGGTTGGGGCTCACTCAGGAAGGGCCTGACATTGTTACTATGGGATGATGGATCACCCTGGCCCCATCACATCACCACCGAAAAGCATTAGTCACTAAAAGGCCAAATGTCTTTTCCATGCCCTTAGCATCCTGTCAAGAAGGACTTACTGCAGCTTGAGAGGAGTGGGGAAATGGAAGCATGTGGCAGAGCCAATATAATACATGTCAAAAAAGGCCACGGCACAGGGACCCATCCGTGACATGGATCAGCGAAAAGACCCCAGAAATCTTTCCATTTGCTTCAAAAACTGGTCTGTTGCTATTAATGTTCCCTCCTAAACATATCAAATCAAATAAATCATGGTTAACAGAAAATGTAACTGACAGGCTATCTGTATATTTGACCATCTGGAAAAGAAATCAGAATAAAGACCATTGTAATGGGATCTTACAGATGTATTGTGCGTTTAAGAAATCACTTTTCACACAGAAATTCCTAATGAAAAATGAAGAGCTGCACAAGAAAGCCACCAAACAATGCATTCTTAGTTACAGGAGCACTGAGTATGGACTTAACCAATACCATGCCTTCACTGAGTATACGGAGGTGGGGAACAGTATCCAAAAGGAGGGGTGTAGAAGAGTCTATTGTAATAGGAAATTGAAGAGGACATCTAAAAATTGATAAAGCCAAACAATAGTTAATTAAGCGTAATATTTCAGAGTTCAAGATGGCTGCCTCCTGGGGCTGTGACCAGAAATTGCTCTATTATTGCGTCCACTGTGAATGTTACACAACACTTTAACATTTGGACCACAGTATTTGATAAAAATGAAAACTAATGTCTAAAGTAATGATTAGGCAATCTTCCAGGAGTCAGAAGAAAACACAAGGATAGTTTGCAAAGAAATCAACGATGTACTAAGCCCATGTGGTGGTTTCAATGAGGATGCCCCCCCCCATAAGCTCTAATGTTTAACTACTTGGTCCACAATTGGTAGAACTGTTTGGGAAGGATTAGGAGGTGTGGCCTTATTGGAGGAGATGTTTCATGGGGATGGGAGGTGGGGGAGCTCTTTGAGGTTTTTAACAAACTCATCACTTCCTCTTAGCTCCCTCTGCCTTCTACTTTCAGATCAAGATGCAGCTCTCGGCTGATCCTGCTGCCATTATGAACGCTAACTTCGGAAACTGTACGTCGGTGGAAGGCTTTCTTTTATGAGTCGCCTTGGTCATCGTCCTTTGTTACAATAACAGAAAAGTAACTGAGACAGAAGTGGGTACCAAGAAATGGGCCATTTCTGTGACAGGCCTGACTATACTGTGTTTTGGAGGAATTGGAAGACTGGGACTCCAGACTAGGAAAGCCATGGAACTTTCTAAGTGGGCTTAAGGGGACATCCTAGTAGGAAGTTAGAAGACACTAGTGTTGAGAGCTATGTAGACTGTGGAGGCTCACAAACCTCAAGAGGTCCCAGGGACAATACTAGCAACAGGGCTACAGCACATTCTTATGATATTTGACAAAGAATGTGACTGCTGTCTGCCCTAAGGCAAAACTGAAAAACAATGGATTCATTTCCTTGGCAGAGGAGATTTCAAAACAGCCTAATATTGACTCTGTTGTGTGGTTATTAGTAATCACTCTTGTGTAGGCCTACAATGAAAAGAGCAACTATAACAAACAGAAATTCCTGTTTCATACATTTCCTCATACAATGATATAGAATGCACATTTTCTTTGGGTATTAAAAGAATCAAAATTAAAGTATCAGTCACCTTATGATGGTCAGTGAAGAAGATATGTGACCAGATTCTAATGGTAATAATAACTGCTCATAAATGCCAAAGTTTTACACCATTTTTTGATCAGCTCATGTAATTAGTACATGATCTGCTCTGTTGAGGCAAAACTGCCTGTGTCCCTAGATTGGTTTGCTACCGGTTTGGTTGTCTGAAAAGCCTATTCATATTCCCCAGCCTGACAGATTTCCAAAGGCACCTACCTATAGGTTTGGTTTACATTTCTTCCATCATAAGAAAAACTGAGTTCCAGGCCAGTGTTTACCGGCCCTCTTCCTATTTTCTTATTCTCTGTGTCATGACTATGTGCAGTTTACAGTCTACGCTACTGACTAGTTCTCTAGACCTCAGTGGCAAGAAGGTTCAGAAAGATGGACTAATGCAGAAGGAGTTTCCAGCAGGGACCATGACTTTCCGGAGACTCCACAGTCCCTCCTAGGCATGGCCACGCCCCCGTAGCCACGCCCCGCTACGGTTTGGGAGGACAGACCACACCCACTGCGGTGGCCCCGCCCCTGGGGACCCAGCCCTCCCTCTCCCCCGAGTCCAGCCTTGCCAGGACTCCGCTCGTCCCCTCTCGGTTGTGCCGCACACCTACCGACCTCTGCCCGTGGTCCGTGCGGTCCCTCACTTTCCCGGTGGGAACGAAGGCTGGACGCCTAGGCACCGACTGGCGCCGCTGACATCCAAGCGTCATCCACTTCCCCTCGAAGGGGACGGGTCTTTCCCGCCACCCCCGCCTCTGTGGAGATAAAGATGCAGCAGTCCCAAGCCCGCTGCCTCAAAGAACGCCGTTGCCCTGGCAACTAGAAGCGCGAGGATCTCGGTCTCGCGATAGGTGTAAAGGGCTGTACCATCAGAGATGGGCACTGGGGACCGCTGAAGCGGTGGGTGTGGGAGGCTGCGGAGCTGGGGCCGTCCTAAAACTTTTACAGTGCGTGTTCTAGCTGAGGAATGGTTTGTTCATATTCAGGTTGGACTCCGGAGCAAAGATCCCGGTGCTGTAATGGCTCTGACCAGCCACTAGGATGTCCTACAGGCCAGCTGTCCTCTCAGAGCTCAGTTACCTCCCGGCTCACTACCATCCCCTTCTTGCAAGACGGATGTACAGCTCAGAGATGTCGTATGTGAAAGTCTTGTCAAGTTTGGAGACCTGTGTGTGTGTGTGTATTAGTTTTGTAAAAACTGGGCTGAAGTAAAGTAAAAACGGGTTATGATGGCTTTTTACACCTTCATAATCACTCATAATTTCTCTCTGCGCAATGCATAAGGACTCACTGCCTGGATCACCAAACGGGTGTTTTTTTCTTCATCCCAGTGCTTTCCAACACCTGCTGCGTTCCAGTCTAAATGGCCCTTGATTGTTTACACGGTGTTTTCACACCCAGAGCCCTTTATCCTCATGCTTTGGGGCAGGTACAGTATTTCTTCAGTCTTTTTCATCAGAATAAATGAGTATACATTGAGTTGCCCAAAGAGCACGGCTATAATTTTACACGGGGTGTAAAAACCTGGCTGTAAATGCCATCTGTGTGCTCTTGCTCCTTTGTCTCTATCTGCAGGTCAGATGTCTCTCTTCAACCCCAGTCCTTTATGGGACCTCAGTAAGGCATGGCCCCTCAGCTGTGTGAGAACCCTCTCAAACTTAGAAGATGAAAAATCAAACCACTTTCCCATAGTCTCCTCCCTGCGGCCCCTGCTCCCAGGCTCAGCTCGGCAACTCTGGTGTCATCCTCAGTTCCTCTTCCTCCAACGTGAGTTATAAATGCTGCCTACCGGTCTGCATTCCAGTGTGTCAGAATCCACACGCTTCTCGGCCCTGCAGTGTTCCCACTCTCAACTAGATGTTGCAATAGTCTACCTGTAGTTCCTTTGTTTAGAACCCCCCTCGCACCTCCTGTATACTTGAAGCACAGTAGCCTGCAGCATGTTCAGAACCTCAGTCAGATCCTGCCCGGCCTCCACTCCCGGCTCCCCATGACTCTGCATTTCTCTTAGACTCCTTACAATGTCCGCAGGCACAGAAGATCAAACCGTTACCCTCCCTGCCCTCCAGTTTGCCGCCTTTCCCCAGAGAAACATTGCTCCAGGCTGTCTTCACAGTTAACGGTTCCACAGGAAAATTCTCTGTACTTCTCAGGAAATTGAGGTTTTTTTTCAAATCCCCCTTTTCTTAATGTTTGGAAATCCAAACCATGGAAGAAAATATTCTGCTTCTGGGTGAGAATTAACCCTTAGCAGCCTGCATAGAGATGTAACTGAAGAAACCCAGGGGCACCACTGCCAAAGCAAGAGCAGACATTATGACACTAAATCAGAAGTTGAGGTCTCCATTTCCTGGAACCCAGGCAGAAACACCAGCGAGGGTCGAAGCAGTTTCTTCTGCCCATCTTCCTTAGAGCTGGTATGTGCCTGGGCCCTGCCTGTGCCAGCAGAGAGTCATTTTTAGTGTTTGTGCGCTCTCTCTCTCTCTTTGTGTGTGTGTGTGTGTGTGTGTGTGTGTGTGTGTGTGTGTGTGTGTAGCAGCCCAGGCTGTTCTGGAACTTGCCACACTTCTGTTCTGCCTAGGCTTCTTGAGCCATGACACCCAGCTTCAGTTGAACAACTCTTGGGAATAAAATAGCATTAGGTAGCTGATACCATCGTTTGCGTTACACCAATTCTGTGAACAGTGTTTCAAGAAATAAAAACGGGCCAGGGAGATGGCTCGGCAGGTAAAGGCACTTGCTATGCAAGCCTGGAAGCCAGAGTTCAAGCCACAGAACCCATGGAAAGGTAGGAGAACAGAACCGAGTCACAGTGTGTGTGTGTTGACATCCATATGGGCATCATGGCACATGTGCATACACACACACATGCATGCATACATACATACATACATTTGAAGAAAAAGAACAAAGAAATAATGAGTTTGGGATTCAAAGCAAGGCCTTACCTTCACAATTCCAATCCATGATATTGACTGGAAGATGTGCACACTATATGGAAAAAAAGTGAGTAACTGGACTGGGGATGGACCTCAGTGGTAAGTGAGAGACCCTGTGTATGAGCCATAGCAATACCAAAAGCAAGGACGAAGAAGTGACTAAGGTCGCCTTTGTAAGTAGAATCTAGATGTGGGGAGAGCACTGCACATCTGCTAACAGTCAGCACAGAATGTTCCAGCAAAGTCAAGTAAACAGCCGAAAACACTGTGCCTTCAGCGTTTCTCAACTGGACTTACCCTAGTTAACCAGCTAATCAAAATGGGTTTGAGGCAAACATTCATGCCTAGCCAATTAACCACCTCCACAAACCACTGTTTGTGGCAGTCACCTTTTAAAAATATATATATAAACCTTGCCTGTGCTTGCCTTGACAGATACTGTTCAGGGACAACCTGGTTCAGTATACCTAAACTACAGCTCTATGTTCTCTGTTCCCCTCAAAAATGCTACTTCCTTTGACCTTGGTATCAGTTGTCTCTTAGTTAATATTTTACTACTCAAATACGACTTAGTAATGTTCTCTGTGTTTTCCAGAATTTGAATACAATTTATAATCCTTCCAAACTCTTCTAAATTTAATCACTTGGATTTGGGGGTCTTCTTTCTTTGTGTTTGGGTGTTATTTGTCCTTGTTCTGGGGTGCTAGAGATGGTAATCTAGGTTTTACACATACAAGGAGGCAAGTATTCAATCTCCGAGCAATATTCCAGCCCTAATAGTTGTGATTATTTAAACACATGCTTTGGGGGATCATAATAGTAAGACTATGAAAGTTGGAAGTATTTTAAGAATAATTTAAGAGCCTGGAGGTATAATTGCAGAATCTGTACTTAGCCTGCATGAAGTCCTGGCTTTGATACCAGGGGGAAAGAGGAACATTGATCCTGCAGTTCAGATCTCTGTCTCTACATGTTAAAGATCAGTATTTGTCAGGAACTTAGAAACACAACTTGTCTCTCCAACACACACACACACACACACACACACACACACACACACACACACACCAGCTCCCTAGTTCCTCTACCTGGAATACAGCTTCCCAACTGTCTGTGTGGGATGAGAAGACCCTGTCACCACAGGACATAAATAATCATCTATAATCACACTTCAAACGGACTTACAAAGAAGAAAGATTGATTTGGGGTCACGGTTGTGGGGTCCATGGTCACTTGGCCCTTTTACTTGGGCTTGGACAGCACAGTGTGTCATGGGGGAAGCACTGGTGAGACGGGCCAGCTCCCCTGGTGACAGCTGAGAAGCCAAGACAGGAAGAAACTAGTGATCAGGGTCCAGCGTCTGCTTCAAAGGCATTCCGCACCCCTGTCACCTAACTGCATCCCACGAAAAGGCCTTATGAAGGCTCCAGCATCTCCTAATAGCACCGCAGGCTGGCAACAAGCATTGGCACCATTAGAGGACAGTTATCCAAACTATGACACCTGCTTTTGAAATGTCTTAATAAAGGGGGAGGGCTGGAGAGGTGGCTCAGAGGTTATGAGCACTGGCTACTCTTCCAGATGGCCGGGGTTCGGTCTCAACAGCCGTATGGTGGCTCACAACAGTCTGTGGGGTCCGATGCCCTCTTTGGCCTCTGCAAGCACTGCACACAAGTAATGCACAGACATGCTTTCAGGCAAAACATTCATACACATAAAATAAGAAATGAAAAAAGTTTGTAATAAGGAAGAAAGTACCATTATTAGGAATCTGGTATTAAATAGTTGAGTACCCTCAGATAAATTCACAAATGTTTATGGACCACCATGCCCTCATTTGGGAAATGAGGTTGGACATGGTTTGCAGTTCTTGACTCCGTTGCACATTAGAATCACCATTGCATAAACTCCTGACACCAGGGCTGCACTGAGGACAAAGATGTCCGAAATCGACACCACCTTCTCCACCTTTAACTGTAAATACATCGCCCAATGAATGGTCTTGATAAAATGCTGATTAGCTCTCTGGTGGGACTATCACAGGTGATGTCAGAGCCCCTGGACCACAGATTGCTTCTTGAGTACCTATAGGTAAGTTATTTCCACATGCCTACACACTGCTTGTTCTGTGAACAAAGGCCATATTTTCTTTGTACACATGTGCATGTGTAAGTATGTGTACTTCCACCTTATCTGAGAGAGTCTCTTTGTTGTCTTTCCATGGCATGAGACTGAGAGTGGCTGGCCCGTGAACTTTCTGGAAGTTTCCTTTTCCCACCCCTCATCTCCCGAAAGGAGCTCTGGGTTTACAGATGTGTTTTGCCCCCTCCAGTTTTTATGGGGCTTCAGGGCAATGAACCTAGGTCCTCACACTCAAGTGGCAAGTGCTTTAACCTGCTGAGCCAACTCCCCAGCTCCTCCCCCGCCTACAGTTTTTACATGGGGTGCTTAATGGGGCCCATTAATATTTTTTCACATTTCTTGGTGGTATGATGGAGGCAGAAAACTTAGACAATACAGAGCTATGAAGACTGCTATAATATCTGGTGGTTTCCCTGTTTAAACAGTTGCCCTTTAAAATACATGCAATGTAAGAGCTATATAAACCGGATGGAAACAAAATGTGTGTCTTTCACTCTGTAGTCATCCCACACTAAGTCCTTATTGATCCTATTTTGCATAAAACAGTCTTGAGTTAATTTCTGTCTCTGTATTTTTCTCACTTCATTTGCCTCCCACTGTTCTCATTTTGCAAATTGCTCAGGGGCTGTGTGGACGTTGAGAGCAAACTTTAAGACACTGGAATTGTTCTGTGTTTGTTCTTATTTTTTTGCATGTACTTCTGTGTCATATTGAGGGTGATACTCTCAAAACAGTT